GAATACATGGTGGAGCCACCTGTGCATGTCTTTTTCTCTGTAGGAGACTTTATAATTACAGATTCAATTTCTAAATGATTTTAGGACTATATTTTACATATCTGATGTCAGTTTTAATAAGTTATACTTTGCTGAGAATATTTTCATTTGATCTAACTCTAATTTACTAGCATAATATTGTTAAATTGTCCATCTTGTGATATATTTGATGTCTGATGGGGTCTAAAGTGGTATTTTCCTCTGCATCCCTCAGATTGATAAACATCTTTACAGGTTGTCATTTAATTTTCTTTGTCTTTTCAAAAAACATATTTTAACTCATTGTAAAAAATAATTCTTTTTCATTTTTGCTTCTTTAATTTATGTAATTCCTTCTTTTGTATTTGCCTCTTTTTGTTTTGCTTTTTATTATGGGACTTTAGTTCTGTGTTCTTGATTTATGAAAATAAATATATTTTTCGTTATTTCCCTTTTTAAACATGTGCACGCATATGTGTAGTGTTTTAGAGCACACCCTAAGTCTCAATGCATTGCCTTTTCACTGGGTTATTTTGTTATTGTTCTGTTTAACTTATTCCTACTATCCTTTTATGATTCATTTTGTTTATTAATATTTAGAAATATGTGTTAGAACATTTTTGGGTTTTCAAGTTATCTCTGTTTCTGACTGCCAGTGAAATCCTGTAACATGGTCTGTGTGTATAATCCTACCACACAGGAGAAAGAAAAGAATACTTGAAGTATATAATTGCCACAGTAGTTGGGGTGTTATTTGTATTTGTGTCTGTGTTTACATACATACAGATATACCTTTAATAGGCCCTCACTAAATCCCTCTTGTCCTAAGGCTACTATGAATGAAGACTTTCTTGTGGTCATATACTCTATCTTCAACCTAGAGAGGTCATTGCTTATATGTATTTGACTCGATTTGATCTGATAACGTTTGTGTTGTTATTTTGTACATATGTATACATGAAGAAAGAGGAACCTTTCCCTAAGTTCCTAGGAAATATCTATTGTATCTTACTGGCCAGAATTGTATGAATGTTGATCTCTGAACAAATTATGGTGGCTGTGGAGATGATGGGTATAAAACAACTAACAGAAATATACCCCTAAGCATGCATGAATATATGTGTGTATATATATATATATATGTGTGTGTGTGTGTGTGTGTTTAATTATGTAAATTTATATAAAATATAAATGTATTTAATATTTTTTAATTTTGGATATTAACTTTATTTTTAATTATGTGTGTATGTGTCTGTGTGGGGATGTGTATTCTTTTGTTTGTTTGTTTGAGACAGGATTTCTCTGTGTAGCTTTGGAGCCTATCCTGGCACTCGCTCTGGAGACCAGGCTGCCCTCAAACTCACAGAGATCTGCCTGCCTCTGCCTCCCGAGTGCTGGGATTAAAGGCGTGTGCCACCAACACCTGGCCCAGAGATATGTATTCTGAAGCATGTACATGAGTATAAGGTTCCCATGAAGGCCAGAAGAAGGTGTCAGACCACCCCAGGTTAGTGTTACAGAAGGTTGTGAGCTGCCATGCGGGTACTGGAAACCAAACTTGGATACTCTGCAAGAACAACTGCTCTTAACAACTGAGCCATCTTTCCAGTCTCACACAAAATACAGTTTTCTCATCCTCCCTCCCCACCAACTCTGTGTGTGTGTGTGTGGGGGTGGTGAGGAGGTAGAGAGAGGTAGAGAGAATACTGGTGAGAGGAGGGTTTACTTTGAGGTATTTGCTCATGTAACTATGAGGTCTGTCGTGTGTGAAATCTGTTTGACAGCACGCTGGGAAGTCTGGGGTAGAGAGTAATGTTGCAGCCTTGAGGCAGAATTCCTTCATCCCCTGGGAAACATGATTGTTTTCTTTTAAGACATTGTAGCTGAGTGGATGAGGCACACTTCCATTCTTTTTTTTTTAATTTATTTATTAGTTCTAGTTAGGGAACAAGCTTATTTCAAGTCCCTTCTCCCTCTCCCTCCCCTCACCCCCAACTCTCCTCTCCCACCCCCAGCCCACCCCCACCCTATCCACCCACCACTCCCCAGGAAGGGTAGGGCCCTCAAAGGGGGCTCTGCAAAGTCCATCAAATCTTCCTGTGCTGGTTCTGGGCCCCACACTTCCATTCTTAAAGTTAATGTTCTTTACTTAAAACCCACTCACTGAAAAGTACCTTTTTGGCAATACCTAAAATATTGTCTGTTTAAATAGCCAGCCTGTCACATATATCATCAAATATGTGATCATTTTTTAAAACTCTGTAGCTAAAACTTTTGAGGTCCTATTGGAATGGAGAGTTTGGCAACGCAGTGGAGGCTAAAAGTGTCCCTAGAGTAGGTTCATGTGTGGGAAGGCTGTTGTGCAGCATGGTTTCTGAACTTGAGTCATACAAGGTGATGCTAGAAAGAAAAGTTACAGAAGTAACTGCTTAATTGAAAAGTACTAATGATTTTTTTTTTGCTTTTTATTTTATTTGGGCTTTCATGGGGTTTGGAATATTTAACATATAGGCTAACCCATGCTTTTACTCCTGAATTACCTCTCTAGCCCCGAGCGTAATAGTGAACTCTTACTAATAATAATGTTCAAATATGAATTAGATTACTGGTACTTACTGCAAATTAAGTTTCAACATTATATGTTCCTTGACATCTGGTGTAAATAACATATTGTAAAACAGTATTTTGCTCACATGGAGTCCAGTAGATAATAGGCATAATTTTTTCTGCAGTTGTATTAAACATTGAATAGTAGTTGAATATGATAGCATCAGGATTCCCCAGAGAAGCAGAGTACTTAGGATTTGAATTAATGATATGAATTCTATCTATCTATCTATCTATCTATCTATCTATCTATCTATCTATGTCTATATATATATATGTATAATAAAAAACTATATATATATTGTTTCTTACATTTAAATACATGTTGATTACCTTAGTATATGAAAATCACTTGCTTCCTTAAATGTCCTAGCCACGAATTTCCCTTCCTACTGTGCTCTTGAAGGTAAGATTGCCTTGCTGAACGTTTCTTCTTTGCAAAGGGATCTCTTGGGCTCTATTTCTGATTCTACTTGATCAGCAGGTTTAGTTCCCTGGAATTTTGTGCAGTTGTTTAAAGAAGCCAATCACATCCTCTGTAGCAACAAGGAGGCACTTTTGACCTCATGTAGTCTTCTTTCTACATCCTTGTTCACTTTGCTTCTGAGTGATCCCCCATGTGCTCTAGCATGGCTTTGTTTCCTTGCCCACAAAGTTGTGAGTAGCTGTTATTAATCAACTCTTTACAGTCTCTTCCATATCCAGTGATAAGTGTTGGATGCTTGGCTCGCTCTATATCTTAAGTTTGGAATCTGGAGGTGATTAAAATAGAATTCTTCCTTTTCTCAGCTCCCATTCATGATGTTGGAGTAGGGAAAGATTCAAATATCTGCTATTAGCATAAATGACTAGTGAAATACATCCCAATCCAGAAATTGTGTTGTTTTTGCTTTTACAATATTATGTTATTAGCATTTATGTTTTCCAAAAGCAGGAAGAGCATTTATTTATCTATCATTAGCTCCAGCCCGATTGCTCTGTAAATTATAACTTTTCCTCTCAACTGTTAACTCAAGAAACATGACTTACTAGTTTTTCTCTTCCCTTGTTATATTTGCCAAGTAGCGTAATCACTGGAAAAAACAGAAATGCAGTAAATATTTGGCATGTAATCCAAAACAGTAATCCAGAAATTACACTTTCATCCAGAGTTTGAGGGACAATTACCAATGATTTTTGAGTTTCCCCCTAAACACATAAGATGTAAGTAAATACCCTAAATGTGAATTGACTAATATTGTTAAAATACAAGCCCTTTCCTTTCACTTCCAGAGGGGAGAATGAAAGCTTTAGATTGTTGCCCAATTTCTCTTTACTCATTTTCCTTCCAAAATTAATTTTAGTTGCCTTTTAAGGCCTCTGAAGAAACCTAAGGACATCAGCTTACTTTGTATAGGAAGGGGAATTGGAATAGCAACATGGTGATCCAAACTTCTTCCCGTATGTTGATTCTGGGTGCTTCATGCACAGTTTCAGATTCTTGCTGGAAGCTAAAACAATGCTTCTTTAGGGATTCCTTAGTCTTGTTCTTGCTTTATTTCTCAAGTTGAAGCTATATAATACCCCTATTCTAAGTACAAGATAAACATGCGCAGCGGTAAAATACTGGGAGTGAACATATTTAGCAATCTTTTCTTAGTTATTTTTATTAGATTTATTTTTAACAAGTACATAAAACTGCACATGTAATGTGGTAGTGTGGAATACATGTACGCATTGTTCAATGTTTAAATCAGGGTACAATAGCACACTGAAAATTCTTATCTTTTCTGTAATTATGATTTAGTACCCATTGAGCAGTCTTTTCCATTTTCTTCTTTTTCCAACTCTTTTCTCATCACTGCAAGATACCATACCACCCACAACTTCAAAATCAGTGTATTAATATTTCACCAATGAGTGCAAGTCATGTATTACCTGTATTCCCATACATTTCTTAATTCACTTAGTGTAATGATCTCGGTTCCATCTGCATTGTTGCACATATAACTGGATTTCATTCATTTTATATGACTGAATAGCATCATGATGTGTGTCCACATTTTATTTTTATTACTTTTGTTTTTATGCCTACTGTTTTTGAATTTCCTTGAAACTTAAGGTTAAGTAATTCTTTTCTAAGAATGTCATATGCTAATTTTTCTTACTAAGAAGTGTAAGAAATTTTTAGAGGAAAAAAATGGAAAACCTACTCTGACAAAGGAATTTTTCTGATTTCTAAATATATATTTCCTCAAAAGTAGAATGCTAAGGAGTACTTGACAGGGTATTTGTTTTGGGCAAGTCATCCAGTGATGATCCCTCCATTGGTCAGAGGCTTAAAGAGAGACTAATACAGCAGAAGTCTTCTCTTTATCTCATTGGTTTATTCACAGGAAACAGATCCAAGCTATGCTGGGCCAATTCAGCGAAGCAGAGGCTTTGTTAATAAATGCTGGAGTGCAGCCAGGGACTATTGATGGAGTTCTTTTGGACCTGGGGTGTTCCTCCATGCAACTTGATGCTCCTGAGCGAGGTTTCTCCCTTCGGAAGGATGGCCCCCTGGACATGAGGATGGATGGAGACAGGTGAGTATTGAAAAAGCATTTCTTCTTACCACAAGAAAATCAATTCCTTAAAAACATTCTGAATTTAATTTCCTTGAAGAATGAAAAATTCCCAGCACACTCCCACATCCAGCACTGTCCATATATAATAAATCAGCTGTGTTTGGTGCTGATTATAGACGTCAGTATTTCTTTGGCTTTGGAATTCTAAAAAGAAAATATTTACTGTATTTACAGAATATAGTGAGGAGGTGTTCAGAATGAAGAAATCAACTTTTATGTGATTTTTTTTCACTGACAATATGGCTTTTTAATACTTTGGAAAAATTTGATGCAGAAACAATAGCTTCATTTTTTGTGCATGCCCAGCTATTCTTCTGTAAGAAGCAAGAGGATCTGTATTTAGTTGATATTCTTTTATAATGCTGGAAAAAAAACCTGCCATGATTCTTGTGGTCAACAATTCTGTTTTTGTTCTATCTCTTATGCAGTCACCCTACTTGTACCTTCTCCAAAAGATCTGCAGTGTATGGCACTGCATCTTACATCACTTCATATCCATGCATCTCTACACAGAATATCACTTGCGATGACTCTTCATTCTTCAGCACTGTAGAAATATTAGGGCTTCTTTACCATTATTCAATTCAAATAGACACACAACACATTTAATAGCATTATGTTTTACTGTAGCAAAGAGTAGGAAAATTTCCTATTTCTTTTTTAATTTTAAGTTCAAATTAGTACTGACAACTGGACCTACCAGTACTACCAAGCCAGAATAACCTATGTCTACAAAGCTTACTATTGCTTTTCATGTGTACATTTTGTCATGCCATGAATATCCTGTAGTAAATACTCATATATAGTCTCTTGATAAATGATGTGGCAGCCTAATTTGCATTGTGATATATTTGTTAGAATCTTATTGTTTCTGAATCATCTGCCTTCTTCTGTCTGCATTATTGGCATTCATAAGATGAAGAATATCATGATAAAATAAAATAATAACATCATTTAATGAGTGACTAATAGTGGAGATAAAATATTCTCAACTTTGGAAATTAAGGTGGTTGTATAGACACAAAATGTTGAATGAATGTATACTACCTGTATCTTGCTGTGCAAGATGTTTTCTGTAATACAGTTATCAAAGCTTCTAATTAATAGTAGTGAATTCCCATGTTCTTAATGTAAAAGCTTCTTTGGCAATTTTTTTTTAATTTGTAAATCTACATCCATGGATTTCTCCTCAGGAACTTAAAAATAAGATTGTTCCTGAGAATTAAGCCTTAAGTCAATCCCTTTTGTTTGAAGTTATAATTGAAATAATACATGCTTAAAAGTTGAAGATCTTTCAGGTAGAAATATGGATATACCCTACATGAGGTACTCAGAATAGGGAAATTGATTTACTGGGATGTATGGGAAAATGAAAGTCAGGCATGCAAAGATGTGCACTGCAAAAACAAGTAGAATGGTGGGCCATGGGAAAAATACATGTGTATATGCACACACAGTTGTTACCTGTCAGAAACCAGAAAGTGATAGATCCCTCTACTAAAAACACACACAGGAGGCATTTTAGCACTGGAGTCTTAACTCTATGCTGACCCCAATTTTAATAACCACTGCTTTTATATTATATTATCTTCTCATGTAACAGAGAGGAATTCCACACCTCAAAGACTTGAAAGACTTTTAGCAGGTATAGTCTTCATTGGGAGATAATAAATTGGCACTCAAGTTAGGACTTTCTCTTATGATTTTAATTGCAGTATTCAGGGAAATCTTTGGAGTGACATGAATAAACTTGTGTTTTCTTAGAGGAGCAGTTCGTCTTGTCCATCATATTAATGCCTGTTCTAATACAGATTTCTGGCCTGACAACCCCCAGAGTGATGTTCCTTTTGTCTTCTAACATTATGGAAGCTTCTACACAATTATTTCATGTCAATGTAATAGTAACATAATATCATACCTGGTATCCATTGAATGCCACCTGTTCAAAATGCTATTTTAATTTTCTTGTCTAAAAGTAGAAAGTTATGAATAAAACTATATCCATCCATACTATCTTGTAATTGCCTCAATAGAGCTAAGAGTCTGAATTTGCCATCATTAACAAGGATTGTCTTAGTGGGCATTGGCTTGGGTAACTGAATTCATTGGTAGGTAAGATCTAGCAGGGATTTTGTCTTTTATGCTCAAAATGATGATTGGCAAATATATGAATTAGAAAGATCTGAAGGTCATGAACATTTATTGCCCAGTCATTATATTGTCTCTCTTTACTATTTCATGCAGGCCCCCTCCCAACAATTCTGATAATTGAAATAAGCATTGTTATATTCATTTCACAGTTTAAAATTGAGAGTCTACCACATTTAAAATTTTATATACTATAACAAGGCTGCAATTATATAGATCACTACAACCTTAAAAGAGAAGATCTTCATTTTCTAAGCCAAAAAAGCAGCTCACTGGGATCAAAATTAAGGCTACCATATAGGATAGTCATTGGTACAGGATTATCAAAAGAAAGGCTATCAGTTTGAAGGGGTGGAAGGAGTTGAAGGGAGGGAAGGTGGGGTGATATAATTATATTTCAATTCAAAACATAAATAAATAAATGTAAGCAAAAACAAAAAATAACTTAGAACAATATGTTTCCTACTCCCCAAAACAATCAGAGAAGAGTAAGAATTTCAAAGAAATACTGACAGTTAGACATGCAAAATGGAAAACAAAGATGAAAATTTCTCCTGAATGCTTAAGTATGTTGATAAGGTAATAATTTTCAAGGAGAGTTTTAGGTGTTTTTGCAACCTCACTCTGGCTTAAGCCTCAGGCCTTAATGCTCCTATATCTTTGGAACTCATAACTATTCACAGTATGAAACTAATAATCCAACATATTTATATAGGAGTAGTAACTGTACTACTAGCAGATGTTCCTAATAAATCGAGTCATGGCTAGCTCATCAGTTAGAATGCTTTGACACACTTCTCTAAATGGAAATAAACTAGAATGATCTGACAGTGAACATTGTTTTATGCTACTATAATTGAGTCTATGTGGTTAGAGCTTGGATATTCTTTTTGTGCCCTGCTTGAAAGTAATATTTAGGCTTGGTCACTCAGTACTGTTTATTTTGAAGCTTTAATCCATGATGACCTTTGCCACTGATGACTGAGCTAATGTCAAATATCCAAAACATGCACGGTTGACATTAAGTCTTTAGTTATTGTGAGGGGAAGCTGCCTTCTTGTGTAGACCTTCTTTTTTTCCCCTCTAAATTAGATTAGATTTTATTATTCTCTCTCTCCATTTTCCTCTACTCCCTTTTGTGTAGACTTTCTAAGTTGGAGTTTTGTTTTTGTTGTTCCACATGTAGGTTCTTTGCTGGAAAAGATTCATTTGCTCCCTGACTTTTAGACTTGTAAATCTAAACATTCTTCTATTGCTTTACCTTAAGAGAAAACTACAACATCAATATTAACATTTTTATGAATGAAAGTTAAAGGTTACAAAATACTATAACTTCCCATTACCTTGACCTCAATGAATATTTCAGGTTCCTCCTGCCATAATGATTACTATGTAAAACAGAAACTCTCTTCTTTTCTGAGATATTTCAGTCTCTGTTTGAGAATTTCTTCTAGATAATATGTTGTGAATGCCTGTGATCATGTTCCCAATACTCTGAGATATCCACTCTTGTCAACTAAATTGGCGTCAGTAAACTATTTAGCTCTTTTTTGCACAGGTATCCTGACATGCCCACTGCTGCTGATGTTGTGAATGGTTTAGATCAACAAGCACTTGCATCTATCCTACGAGCATATGGAGAGGAAAAGCATGCCAAGAAAATTGCTTCTGCAATCATTCAAGCACGCAGCATATACCCTATCTTGAGAACCCAGCAGCTTGCCAGCATTGTTGCAGGTACTCTCATTAATTCTCTTTAATGTCTAAGAGTAAAAAACTAAATTAATATATACTGATATATATACATACATACATATATATATATATATATATATATATTATATATATATATGTGTGTGTGTGTGTGTGTGTGTCTGTGCACACGCATTTGTGTTCCTCCTGTCTGGCTTCCAGAGGGATTCATTTGTATGTGAAATCATTCAGAACAATCTTCTCGAATGTCAGGTTTGCTTTGTTTTGTTTTTAATACTATAGTACTGCACACAATTTTTAAAAGTTATTTGCCATAGGTGGCTGATTAATATAGAAATTTTATAAATGGTAATTTATCACTTGTGCTGACCAAGGTGAAAGATGGAAGGACAAAGTTTAAAGAATATCTTGATGCATCACAGTGGTTGATAAGCATCCTGTATGAGATTTGACATTACCTCTTATAGTTTCATATTTCCACATTTTAATATTTCAGACAAAAGGAGAATTGCATTGCCCAACTGCTAAAATAAAACTCAGTGACTCATACATCTCTCCTAAACAATCAGCTAACAAAGGGTATGTGATGTATAGGTTATTCCTCTTTGTGGATGCTAACTAAATCAGCCTAAGGGATTTATTGAAACATTTCATCTTTTCTGCTCTTCACCACCATAAACCTCTTGAACCAGATTCTAGCTAGGAGGTACTTTTTTGTACCCTTTCCATTTGAAGCCAAAGCTGTCTGACGGCTATGTTTTGATGAAAGTTTCTCAAAGTAAAAATGCAACTCCTGCAGTTATTTAACAGAATTACATGGGTAAATTATTCATCTTGTTGGACCAACAAAACACTATGTCATTTTTATATACCAAAAATATATTAAGATTGTTTTCATTGTTTCTTATTAAATTATGTCAGTAAAAGCAAATAAAAGGCATATTTGTATAGACTTTTTAAATGTATCCACTATTGGCTAAAGCTATCATAATACTAGATAGAATGTAAGGAATAAAACTTAATTATAAATGTACTTGAATCATTAAGCTGTCTCATAATAATTGTTTATGGCATAATTAAAAATAATTAAATAATATTATATTTTATTACACATAATAGAGTATAAAGAATTGACTAATTGTCAGGCCTTTTCCAACCTAATTCCTTTTATTGAAGTTGAAGCAGAATTCATGTTGGTTTGTAAACATACACTATTTTATTATCCTCCCAAAAAGTTTATACTAGCATGTTAGCAAGTAATAGATTCACTTTCTCCTTATATACATTGCCCTTCTCATTCTTTACTCACCAGGCTACTCTACTTGTCCTTGCTGTCTATAAGAACACTGCATGCCATTTTCTGTGAGAAACCATATTATTTATTCATAAGAAAACACAATTTTGTCTGGTACTGAATGAGGATTTGTAGCTAATGAGCACCCTAGAGATTGTTCTGTTGAAACCTTTATCCAGTAACTTGTGAAACCAATTCTAAAGAGGACCAATGGTTTGCTCAAGACTACAGCCTAATTAAGGACAGTTAGTACTCATTAAAATTTAGGATACAGTAAAGTTGAGACATAATTGGGATATAGTTTTCAGAAATTAAGTTAGCTGGTTTTTTTCTGGATTTTAATCTGTGAACTTGGGGAACTACTGATCTGGTATGAGAGAGAAATGATGTGAACATATACCACAGAAACAATGTGACTGTTCTTCAAATATTACAATGTTAAGAATATATTAGAGCCATGTTAACAATGAAGTAAAAGTGAGAATATTCACATATAGGCAAGGAAAAATTATGAATGGCATTAAAATATTGAGTTTTTTATGTTTTATATCTTTATTGTCAGTCAATAGAAATACAACTTTATTGAGAGCAATGTAAGTTTTTGAAAAAGAGAAAAGCATGATTGATACGATAAATCTTTCTGCCATAAGCCGCCGAGCCCCACTGCCACATGTGCACTTTACACAGGCCGCCCGCCTGAGTTAGGGCCCAAATTAATGCACAGAGACTTGTATTAGGTTCAAATGCCTCTTGGCCAATGACTAGGATTCTCATCTGTTAGCTCAGTCTTAATTATCATAAATCTATATATTTTATAAGACTTATCGGATGCCTTATTGGCGTCCCTCCTTGCCGGTGGCTCACATCCTGCCGCTGGAGGAAGTGAGGAGAGAAAGGGAAACCCTTCCTGTTTCCTTTGCTTAAATATGAGTCTCCTTGCTATGTCACTTCCTGTCTGGATCACCACTTTACTACATTTCCCAGAATCCTCTTTGACTCCTACTCCCATCTAACTTGCTGTCTCATTGGCCAAACAGTATTTTATTTAACAATCGATAAGATAAACATCCACAGAAGTATTTCCCCCATCACATGATATTTCAGAAAGAGAAAACTATGACCTAGCAGAATGGAACCAAGAGAATAGAAAGCTTAATAAATCTATAGCAAGCAATGAGTTTGGAGTTTTCCAACTAAAAGAGCTCAAATACAGGTACATTCTCCACTGAATTCTATGAGACCTTTGAAGAACTAAGCAATTCTCCACAAAACTATCCGTAAAATAGACTGTGAAGAAATGACACCAACCTCATTTTATGCAGCTACTATCACCCAGATACCAAAGCTGAATGAGATCATAACAAGAACTGCAACAAATTATGAGCTACTCTCCCTGATTATGCATGCCACATGTTTTTAAAATTGTTTTTTATATTTTTAGGTGGTAATATAATTGTATACTTTCCTCCCGCCAAAGCCTCCCATATATACAGGCAAGGAAAAATATTGTGATCTTTCGTGATCTGTTTCAAATTCATGGCCCCTTTTGTCATTAACTGTTGTTGTTATTGTTGTTGTTGTTGGTGTGTGTGTGTGTGTGTGTGTGTGTGTGTGTGTGTGTGTGTGTGTGTGTGTGTGTGTGTGTATTTCTAAAGTACATAACTGCAACCTGCTCAACATGTATAATGTTGCACGCATGCATGTTTTCAGGGATGATCATTTGATATTGGGTAACCAGTTGGTATCTTCTTCCATTGGAGACGACTACTTCTCCCACACCCAGTGTTCCTCAGTTGTCTATAGTATTTTGCATAGGGTTGAGGCCTCTTGGGCTTTCCTCCTCTACACTAGCATGTATGTTATTTTCCTTGTGAAGATCATGTTTAGGAAGTCATGTTGGTAAGACTATAAGGGTGTAGCGCTTCTGTTATTACTAGGAGACACGATCTCACAGACTTTTCCTGTGCCTCTTAAAATCACTCCACCTCCTCCTCCACAAGGATGATTGAGCCTTATTGTGGGAGTAGTATCATAGATGTATCCATTAGGGCAGGGCTCCACCACTCTGCCTTTTGATTAGTTGTTGTTTTCTATAATGGTCTTTTGCCTGTTGCAAAGAGAATTTTCCTTGATGAGGGGTGAAGACAATAGTTTTCTGTGGGGATAAGGACAAATATTTATAATGTTGTTGGGGATTTATGTTAGTTTAGTAAAGTGGTGGTGATAGGTTCTCATATATAGGACACTAGCCCTGGTTAGTTGGCTACATTTCCAATGAAGAATTTGCAAAGCACTTTGTAGTGTTAACATAAACTCTTGCATCAATCAAAAGAGCTCTGTGTTCATAGCATTTATTACTGTCATTAGGTAACTAAATTAAATATTATATAAAATGATGAAATATTGATTATTTAAAAAAAGACATTTGGAGTAGGCTGTTCACAGGATTGTTTCCTTGGCTGTGCAGAAGCCATTTAATTTCATATAATCCAATTTATCAATTCTTGACACTATTTCTGAGTCTTTTCAGAAGGTCAATTCTTAGCAGTACCAAATGGGCTTTATTTCAAGGATGCGAGGATTGTTCAAAAAGCACAAATCAATAAATATATATACTCAATGACTGAAGTCACACAAATATCTCAATAGATGCAGAAAAGTACTTTGATGAAAACTGACATCCTCTATTGATAAAAGCGTCGAAGAAAATAATAATAGAAGAAGTATTCCTCAATATAATAAGAATGTATATACCACATCTATAGTCAGTATTTAGTCAATGGAGAAAACCTACAATTATTTTCACTACAATGAGAAATAAGACAAGAGTGTCTTCTTCCTCTGCACATCCAATGTTGTCATTGAAATCTTAACTAGAGCAATAATGCAAAAGAAATAAATTAAAGACATACAAATAGGAAAGGAAGAAGTAAATTATTCTTGAAGATGACATGATCCTAGAAACAAAATTGTAGATTCTACCAGAAACTTCTGAGCTGATTAACACAGTGACAGCATATAATATCAACATATAAATTAATAGCTTGCCTATCTCTTGATAACAAATCACCTGAGGAGGAAGTGAAGAAAATGAGCACTTTAATAATAACTGCAAAAAGTGAAATAAACTAGGGTTGGAGAGACAGATGAGCTGGTAAAGTACTAGGTGCACAGCATGAGGACATGTTTGATCCCGAATCTCATTAAAGATGATGAACATGCTGGCATGAACATGTGGGAAGGTAGAGTCAGGTGGAACAGTGATCAGCCAGCCTAGCCAGCTAGGCAGGTTTCAGACCTTGTTTAAAAACTGCTGGGGGAGGAGGGTGCTGAAAAGATGGTTCAGTAGTTTAGGGTACTGATTCCACTTGCAGAGGACTCAGGTTTAGTTCCAATCACCCCTTTAGTAGACAGACTCATAGAGTCTCAAAAATAAACATATAAATACAAAATAAATTCTTTTTTAAAAGTAGCAGGTAAACAGCACCTAGAGTTGACCTCTGGCATCTCACACTCATGGACTAGCAAAATTAATATTGTGAAAATTTCTATTTTTCAAAAAGTCATGTTATGCTGCTAATTCTTACAAGTTGAAACATTCCCTTCTAGAAGAATGGAAAGTCATAAGACTTTGGGTGCTATAAAACTCATAAGATTCCAGAAACTTTTGAAACTTACCAGGTTTAGGGGGCTCAGAGAGTTAGAAGATTTCCAGGGCCCTCTCCCAATT